ACATTTAGGATTTGATTTAAAAATCACTTTCCAATAATCTTTTTATCTATACACATAACTGTCTTTTTTTAAGGGAATAAAAGAAGGAAAAGAGAAGAAGGGGAAAAAAAACAGATAAGTACCTGATCTGTCCTCTGACGAGGGGACGGTTCTTTGTTCGGTTCATGTTGGAGTCAAAGGGCACCTCAAAGTACTGCGACAGACAAAACAACAGACGGTTAAACACTGAAGACAAATAAAAGAAAAAAAAGACACCACATGAAAACTAACCGAAGTGCATTTTGTGGAAGTGAATTCATCAGTTTCACAGTCATGAAACTCTGGATCTGTTTTGGTTGTTTAGGTTTCCTCCTAACAAAACTCCTACAGGACACCTCCAAAGATAAATACGTGGCTGAGAACAGAACTCAAACGCTTTTTTTTTCCTCAAACAGACTCTTAAAAAGTGGGGAAATGGAAAGACTCAGCAGATGTCGGGCCCACTCGCTTTTTTTCCTTCTTTCTAACAGAAATGTTAGTCAGCAATTTCACATTAGCAGCAACTGCGTCGTACATTAAAACGAGGAAACTGCTGGATGTTTTTAAAATGTTAAACATGTCGAGAGCTGGATATCCGTCCCGCTGCAAAGGGAGTAAACAAACCCGGGCTGCGAGGTGGAGGCAGCGTTCCGGGACGCAACTTTGTGAAAAACTACCAATACGCCTGTTTTATGATCTGCTCTGGAGGAGTAGGCTTCAAAGAGCTCCCATGAGACCAGCAATGTGTGACTAAAATGCAAACATATGGGGTGCTTAAAGACAGGAACTGGCTAATCTTCGGATGTGTGGAAACACACCTTCTCTGATAGACTCAGACTAATGAACAAAACAGATTAAGCTCCTCCAGTGTGGAACTGTAGGACGCATCGTTTCTATTTATGGTCCCACTAAAATATTTAACAGACAATCAACCTCTGGTTTACTTTAAACTCTCCTCAGATTTACTTTTCTAATAAGACTAAAGGAATATAACCTCCAGTAAGGTGCATAACAAAGGACACAGTAACTTTTACTCTGCTTTTGCTTTCTGTTCTTTTGCTTTTTTAAAGTTTCTTTTCCTTTAAAAGTTGGTTTCATTAACCGACACACTTGTTCACACCGAGACTTTAGGGGGAAAATTATAGCCAGTCATAGCAGGCAGAGGAGCTGGTATCTCTGAACTAAAAGAGATGCTGAATGGCCGCCATCCAAACCTCACCGTCGCAGCCATTTCCTGATACATGTGTGAGTGTTTACGCCATTTTCAGCCTGGTTAGTTTGAATTAAAGCTTGTTTTGAAGTTTTGCACAAAGCTTTTAGCAGGTTGCTACACTGGAAAAAAATGAAATCTCAATAAGTAATTTTTTCTTAAAATAATTGCATTTTTTCTTGAATTGAGGAGGTAAGTGTGAAACTTTGCCAATGGAACAAGACAATTTAC